CTCTTGGGGCCGTCCGGGGCGCCTCTTGGGACCCCGCCGGGGCCCTCTTTGGCCATGCTGGGGCAATCTCGAGGCTTCAATGATGCGTCGGAAGCGACAGGGCGAGAAGGCAAACATTAGTCATGTCCCGCAGGCGCATCAAGGACGTTGGCTTCACGGGGGGGTGCGTGGCCCTCGTCGGGACTCTTGGAGGTTTGTTGGAAGCTGTAGTGAACCATCTTCGGCTATCTTGAGCCGCCTTGGGGCCATCGCGGAGCATCGGGGGCCCATCTCGGGCGGGAAAGGCTTTCGCAGATGCCGCCTCGCGAAAAACAAGGTGGGTGCACGCCGCGGCCGCCGTTACCGCTACTCTGCCGCCCGAACCTTCCCCTCGTTGACGGCCGTTACCCGGGATAGAAACACGGTCATTGTGGAGTTCCTGTGGAGTTCGTATTTTTTCTGGTGCGTCTTGGGGTGGGAAGTCTGCAAGGCTTCCACAGCAACACGGGGCTCCAGCATCCGACGAATGAATGCGACCCCATAAGGAACGACACTGGACAGGCAGGGGTGAAGGATCGGAGGTGAGGGGGTGAGATCGAAGTGGAACGGAGAGCCCCCCTACCGGGAAATCGATTTCGGTTTCGTGTTCGTGCGTGCCGTGCGTGCGGGCGAGGCGAAGCTGCGTGGGCGGGCGAGAGAAAGTCTCCTGTGGCTGAGGCGCGGCCGGACCAAATGTCTCCCTTCCGGGCGGCCGGGGCCCGCGGTGTCCCGCCGGTGTCCCGCTGGTGTCCCGTGTGGCTGAGGCGCGGCCGGACCAAATGTCTCCCTTCCGGGCGGCCAGGGGCCCGCGGTGTCCCGCCGGTGTCCCGTCGGTGCCCCGTCGGTGTCCCGATAATGATGATGATGATGATGATGATGATGATGATGATGATGATGATGATGATGATGATGATGATGATGATGATGATGATGATGATGATGATGATGATGATGATGATGATGATGATGATGATGATGATGATGATGATGATGATGATGTTGATGGTGAGTATGGTGATGATGATGTTGATGTTTTACTTCGATGATCGATAGTGAGATCGATAGTGAGGTCGAATGTGAGATCGATAGTGATATCGATTGTGAGATCGAACGTGAGACCGAATGTCAGACCGATTGTGAGATCGATTGTGAGATCGATAGTGGTATCGATAGTGAGATCGATTGTGAGACCGAATGGGAGATCAAATGTGAGATCGATTGTGATATCGATAGTGAGATCGATAGCGAGACCGAATGCGAGATCGATTGTGGGATCTATTGTGAGATCGATAGTCAGATCGATTGTGAGATCGATCGATTGAGATTGATAATGAGATCGATAGTGAGTTCGATAGTGAGATCGATGGTGAGACCTTGTGAGATCGGTTGTGATATCGATAGTGAGTTCGATAGTGAGACCGAATGTAAGACCGATAATGAGATCGAAAGTGAGTTCGATAGTGAGATCGATAGTGAGACCGAATGCGAGATCGATTGCGAGATCGATTGTGACATCGATAGTGAGATCGATAGTGAGACCGAATGTGAGATCGATAATGAGATCGACTGTGAGTTTGATAGCGGGATCGATAGTCGGATCGAATGTGAGATCGATTGTGAGATCGATTGTGATATCGATTGTGAGATCAATAGCGAGACCGATTGTGAGATCGATGGTGAGATCGATTGTGAGATCGATTGTGCGATCGATAATCAGATCGATCGTCAGATCGATCGATTGAGATCGATTGTGAGATCGGTAGTGAGTTCGATAGTGAGATCGATCGAGTGCGACGTTGGCCCCTCCCCCCCCCTCACCTCCTTATCACCCGAAGGGTGGTCGTATAGGTTATCAGGGTAGCGTTTTCAAGGGGCGTGCGTCCGGCGTCGTGAATCCTGGGCCCGCCATCGCCGCCTTCAGTGGAAGAAACAGTGCAGCCCAATCTTGTGTGGAAGCCCCAACCAGGAAGGGTCTGGTTCGGTTCGGTTAGGTTCGGTTAGGTTCCGAAGTGGGTCGGTTCGGTTCGGTTCGGTTCGGCGTCGGAATTTTCCGGTTCGGCTCGGTTCGTCGTTGTCAGGGGCGCCGTCCTGTTCGGCCTGGTTAATTAGCCATGCGTTTCGCTCCGGTTCCGACCGGTTCGCCGCGGAGGAGGCGGGGGAGGAACAGGACAATGAGGAGCAGGAGGATTGGGATACCGTGGGGGGGGGCCGGGGGGAGGGTGCCGGGGAGGGTGCCGAGGGGGGAGGGGTGCTGAGGTGAGGGTTACCGGGCAGGGGTCCGGGGGGAGGTGCTGGCTGGGGGGAGGGTGCCCAGGGGTGCTGGGAAGGGGTGCCGGGAGGGGTGCCAGTGGGGGTGCCGGGGGGGGGGGGGGGAGTGCCGGGGGGGGCCGATGGGGGTTGCTCGGCTGGGGACCTGAGGTGCCCTGGGGGGTGCTGGGGGGAGGTGCCGGGAGGGGTGCGGGAGGGGTGCCGGGATGGGTGCCCAGTGGGGGTGCCGGGGGGGAGTGCCGGGGGGGGGGGCCGAGGGGGGTGTGCTCGGCTGGGGGGCTGGGGGCGGGGCGGGGCCGGGCGAGGTGCCGAGAGGGGGAGTCCGGAGGAGGTGCCGAAGGGGGTGCGGGGAAGGGTGGGGGGGGGGGGGGCCGCGGAGGTGCCGGGGGGTGAAGCCAGCGGGGGTGCCGGGGGTGCCGACGAGATAAGAGGTGCCGGGGGGGTGCCGGGAGGGGGTGCCGGGGAGGGGTGGGGTGCCGAGGGTACCCCAGGGGGAAGGTGCCGGGGAGGGTGGGGGTGCCGGGGGGGTGCCGGGAGGGGTGCCGGAGGGGCCGGGAGGGGGTGCCGGGAGGGGGTGCAGGGGGAGTTCTTGGGGGGGGTGCCGGAGGGGTGCGGGGGGAGGAAGTGCTGGGGGGGGGGGGCGGGGGGGCCGGGAAGCCGTTTCTTGCGTCTGGCATTCCCTTCTCCTCCTCCTCCTCCTCCTCCTCCTCATCCTCATCCTCATCCTCCATCCTCCTATCCTCCTCCTCCTCCCCTCCTCATCCTCTCCTCCTCCTCCTCCTCCTCATTCTCCTCCCCCTCCCCCTCCTTATTCTCCTCCTCCTCCTCCCTCCTCCTCCTCCTCCTCCTCCTCCTCCTCCTCCTCCTCCGCCTCCCTCCTCGTCCTCCTCACTGCCCTCCTCATCCTCCTCCTCCTCCTTCACCTCCTCCTCCTACTCCTCCTCCTTCACGTCGCCAAATTCAAGGCCCCGGAGACGTCCGGTTCGGTGCGGTTCCGTCAGTTCGGTTCGAAATCGAATTTGGTTCGGTTCGGTTCGAAATTGGGTCTCGTTCGGTTCCGGTTCGGTTCGGTTCTTGTTGGATGAACGTGCGGTTCGTACCGGTTCGGTTCGGCCCGGTTCGGTTCGGCCGGTTCGGTTCGGTTTTTGAGCCTTCTTGCCAAACCGATACGCGGATGGGGGCGGGACAACATTCGGACACTTTTCGGGTAGAGAGGAGAGTAGTATTCATGCAGAGTAATTGTGGAGGGGAGGAGGAAAAGGAGGAGGGGGAGGAGGAGGATGAGGAAGACGAGGAGGAGGAGGAAGAGGAGGAGGAGGAGCAGGAGGACGAGGACGAGTTGGAGGACGAGGAGGAGGGGGAGGAGGAGGTGGAGGAGGAGGAAGAGAAGGAGGAGGAGGAGGAGGAAGAGGACGAGTTGGAGGAAGAGGAGGAGGAGGAGGAGTTGGTGGAGGAGGAGGAGGAGAAGGAGAAGGAGAAGGAGGAGGAGCAAGAGTTGGAGGAGGAGTTGGAGGAGGAGTTGGAGGCGGAGTTGGAGGAGGAGGAGGAACTGGAGTTGGAGTTGGAGGAGGAGTTGGAGGAGGAGGAGGAGGAGGAGGAGGAGGAGGAGGAGGAGGGGGAGGGGGAGGGGGAGGAGGAGGAGGACGAGCTCTTTCTTCTCTCCCTCCTCCCTCTCTTCCTCCCCATCTATTAGCCTGGATCATTCCCCTCATCCTCCAGCTAATTACGAACGGAGCCCATGGCGAACATCTCAGGAGGAGGAGGGGGAGGGGGAGGAGGAGTTGGAGGAGTTGGAGGAGCAGGAGCAGGAGGAGGCGGAGGAGCTAATGCAACAGCAACGGCTGGAGGATTATGTTTTTGACGATTATGATGATGCTGATGATGTTGCTGATGATGATGCTGCTGATGATGATGATGCTGATGCTGATTATGATGCTGATTATGATGCTGATGATGATGCTGATGATGATGATGCTGATGATGATGACGACGATGATGATGATGCTGATGATGCTGATGCTGATGATGCTGCTGGTGATGATGCTGCTGATGATGCTGATGATGACGGCGATGATGATGCTGATGATGCTGTTGATGCTGATGCTGTTGGTGATGATGCTAATGATGATGATGCTTATGATGATGATAATGGTGGTGTTAATGATGATGCTGATGCTGATGTTAATGCTGATGGTGATGATGCTGCTGATGATGATGTCGGTGATGATGATGGTGACGATGATGGTGATGACGACGACGATGCTGCTGATGATGCTGATGGTGCTGTAGACGATGTTGATGTTGGTGGTGCTGCTGATGGTGCCGCTCATGATGGCGATGATGATGCTGGTGATGATGACGACGAAGATGATGATGCCGATGGTGATGGTGATGATGATAGTGTTTATGATGGTGATGTGGTGATGACGATAACGATGACGATGGTAATGACGACCACGACCACCACCATGATTACGATGATGCTGATGGTGATGATGAGGATGATGGTGATGATGATGGTGATGGTGATGGTGATGATGATGACTAGGATGATGATATTGAGGATGACTATGATGATGACTATGATTATGATGATGCTTATGATGATGCTGATGATGATGCTGATGATGGTCGTGGTGGTGGTGGTGATGATGGTGATGGTCATGGTCATGGTCTCGCTGTCGCTGGTGGCGATGATGATGATGACGATGATGATGATGATGATAATGAGGATGAGGATGAGAATGATGATGAGGAATATGATGATGATAATGATGATGCTGATGATGGTGCTGATGCTGATGATGATGATGCTGCTGATGCTGATGATGCTGATGATGATGATGCTAGTGATGATGATGATGCTGATGATGATACTGATACTGATACTGTTACTGATACGGATACGGATACGGATACTGATACTGATACTGATACTGATACTGATACTGATACTGATGATGATGATGATGAGGATGATGATGATGATGGTGATGGTGATGGTGATGGTGATGATGCTGATGCTGATGCTGATGCTGATGCTGATGCTGCTGATGATGATGATGCTGATGATGATGCTGATGATGATGATGATGATGATGATGATGATCACCATGATCAGGGTGGCGATGATGATGATGATGATGTGATGATGATGATGATGATGAGGAGGAGGAGGATAAGGACGATGAGGAGGAGGAGGAGGAGGATGAGGAGGAGGAGGAGGAGGAGGAGGAGGAGGAGGGGGAGGACGTGGGAGCCCAGGTTCCTCATCCTTGTGACGGACCTGCCCCCCTCCGTCGCGCTGGGCATGGAGCCCGGCCAGGCGGGCATCACATACGTCGGCGACGACGACGACGATATCGACGACGGCAACGACGGCAACGACGGCGCTGATGGCTATGGCGACGGCGGCGGCGGCGGCGGTAGCGACGACGGCGGCGGCGACCACGACCCCTGCAGGTCCCTGGAGATCCCCAGAGGTTTGCGGAGGCTCCCAGAGTCCTCCTGAGGCTCAGAAGAAGTGCCTAGGATCGCCCGATTCTCGGCGGCGGCAACGACCACGGCGCCAGCGGCAGCGACAGCGACGGCGACAGTGGCAGCAGCGGCGGCGGCGACGGCGGCGACGGGGACGGCGGTGACGACCCCTGCAGGTCCTGGAGATACCCGGCAGCGGCGGCGGCGGCGACGGCGCTGGGTACGGAGCCTGGGCAGGCGGACAACGACGACAGCGGCGACGGCGGCGGTAGTGACGGCGATGGCGATGGCGGCAGCAGCAGCGACGGCGGCGGGGACGGCGGCGACGGCGCCCAGCGCGGTGCCTGGGCCAGGCGGGTATCCTGAAGGAGTGGCCCCGACCGAGGAGCGCCGCCAAGCCCGTGTTCGCCCAGTCTCGCCTCGCGCGCGCGCGCCTCCAGAGGCGATGCTGCCACCGTCGCGGGCCGACGCCGCGACGTTTTCCGCGCGTCGCCGCCGCCGTGGTGGAGAGCCACGATGGCGGCGAGGGCGGTTGCGGCGGTGCCGACAGCGAGCAAGGCGGCGACCGTGACGGCGGCTTCGCGGTTCCGACATCGAGCAAAGCGACGACCGTGGCGGCGACGGTGGCGGCGACGGCGGCGGGGCCAGCGAGAAGTGCGTCGGCGGTGTCGATGGCTGCGACCGATTTAGGGAACAGCAGGAGGAGGAGGAGGAGGAGGAGGAGGAGGAGGAGGAGGAGCAGGAGGCTGGTCAGATGGTTAACCACGACGCGCAGGCGACGAGGCGCCGCTCCGGCGGCACGGCGAGCCCCGTCACCCGCGGGGGCGCGGAGATGTGATCGCACTTGGGTCGGGGAGTTCTCCCTCTCCCGGGGGGTCGCGGCGCGAGATCGAAGCATAACACGTTGCATAACGCGCAAACCTTCGGAGATCCGCGCGGGTTTCCCGTGGACCTGCGCCAGGACCCCCCGGGCGGTGCTTCGACAGCGCTGCCCCTAGCGCGCTGCGCGCGCCAATGAGGGGGGCGGAGGGGGGCGGAGGGAGGGAGGGGGAGGGCGAGGGAGGGAGAGGGAGAGGGTGAGGGCGAGGGAGGGAGGGAGGGCAGGAGGGGGAGAGGGGAGGGAGGGAGGGAGGGAGGGAGGGAGGGAGGGAGGGAGGGGGCGAGGGAGGGAGGGGCGGACTCCCTGCGCGGACCTCCAGAAGCCTTCTGTGCCTTCCTGTGCTGGCGCCCGTTCCCCTGCAGGGGCGCGAGCGCGCGCGCGCCCCGGCCGACCGGCGCGGTGTCCGGGCGGGGCGGGGGCGCCCCGCCAGGAGTCAGAACATCGTGCTCATGTGGATGTGGGTCAGCATCGTGATCAACGGCGCCATCCTCTCCCTGGCCACCCGCCGCCGAGAGCGCAGCCGTGCCCGCCGCTCCAGGGGGGGGCGTGCCCGGGGGGCCCTCGGGGAGCGGCCGACGTGTGCGGGTGGGCAGCCGCCCGCCCCCGCCAAGAGGGGCAGGCGCGCGTCCACGTCCGCCGCCCCCCGGGGGGGCCCAGGGCGCGGCTCCGGGAGCTGCGGGCCGGGGCGTGCCCTGGCGGTGCAGGTGATCATCTGCGTCTACTTCTGGGCCCTGAACTTCTACGTGGGCTTCTTCTGGCAGTCCGACATGGCGGACATCAAGAGGGAACAGGACCTTATTGTGGCGACTGGCGGGAGCGTGCCCACCGAGGAGACCATAGGCCACAAGCTCATGCAG